TTGCTTCTGTAGCTAGTTTAGTCCTTTCTGAGTAGTCCTGGGGTTTGGACTTGGTGCCTTGAGCACATGGGTGAATTATGTGGTTACTGTGATGTGACCCCATCAAGTGGTAAGAAATTGCACCTCAATTCTGCCATTATCCCATCCTGCCTGAACAGCAAATGCTTCAATGAAAAGAATACAAGAATGTAAACACCTCCAACCAATGAGTTGGAGCAAGATGTGCAAATCTCAATTCAGAAACACAATATGTAAAGACAAGTCAGCATGACTTCTCCAAAAGTCAGTAATTTCATAAAAATGGACACTAATGAGAGTAAAGTGGATGAAATCCCAGATAAGCATTTTCCTCTTCAGTTTTCTTCAGTTTCATTCTCACTTGCATAGAAGTTGTATGGAATGGTAGAACACAATCATGCTGTACCCATGTGGAGAAGGCCATAATTCAGAAACTATGGCTCCAGAAAATTCTTTGAGCCCCATCTGGTTTGTTCAAATTTTCATAGGGTCATCAACAATCCCTATTCTCATCTACAGACTACAAGAGACTTTCCTAGGTTATAGTGCACTAAACATAGAAAGTCAAAGACAAAAATGCCTCTCTTCCGAAGTCATGTCTAGTATCATACAGCTTTTGTGATGCACAGTAGTGGGGCATTTAGTAAATAAGTTTCTCTGACTTTAGTCTCTTCATTTGCAAATTTACAATCCTCGCTTTTGCTTGTATTAATGAGTACAAGAAATAGCCTTACCTATGGAAAACAGTATGGAGGTTCCTCAAAAAATTTAAAACAAAAATCCTACATGATTCAGTATTCCTGCAACTCAGTATATATCCAAAGGAAATGAAACCAGTATAACAAAGAAAAATCTCAATTCCCCTATTCATTGTAACAATTTAACTATTCATCAACTGAAGAATGGATTAAAAACAATGTGGTAAACATACATGATACAATAGTTTACAGTCATAAAAAGAATGAAATTCTATCATTTGCAGCAACATGGGTGGAACTAGAGATCATTATGTTGAGTGACATAAGTCAGGCACAGAAATATAAGCACCACATGCGAATACTGTGGGAGAAGGGCTGGGAAAATTTGGCACATAGCTACTAAGTTATATTTTAGGGCAGAAAGAGCACTTGTACTGCCACATAGTATAGTGAATACAGATAACAATAATACTCTTTACTTTTCAAAAAGCTAGGAGAATGGATTTTGAAAGTCTTTACCATAAAGAACTAATAAATATCTGAGAAGATAAATATGCTTAGCCTAATTTAAATATTATGCAATATGTACACATGTACGTGTACTCATGGTACCCCACTAATTTTTTTATTTTATGTATCAAATTAAAAATAAAGTAAAAATAAATTCAAAAAAGGAAATAACCCACACAAAGCATTAGATTTGTGCAGCTTCTTTTTCAAAACAGTAAGTTAGGAGTTTTCATGAAAGTTTAGCTCACTGTCTTGGGCTGTCAAAAGCTAGAACAGGAGCAGGAATTGGTTAAGTAGCTGAGAGAGGAAATATCAGGGTACAAGGATTCCAAAGGCTACATTTTTATCTTATTTTTTTTTCATTTTCTTTTATTATTCATATGTGCATACAAGGCTTGGTTCATTTCTCCCCCCTGCCCCCACCCCCCCTTACCACCCACTCTGCCCTCTCCCTCTCCCCCCCCCAATACCCAGCAGAAACTATTTTGCCCTTATTTCTAATTTTGTTGTAGAGAGAGTATAAGCAATAATAGGAAGGAACAAGGGTTTTTGCTGGTTGAGATAAGGATAGCTATACAGGGCATTGACTCACATTGATTTCCTGTGCGTGGGTGTTACCTTCTAGGTTAATTCTTTTTGATCTAACCTTTTCTCTAGTTCCTGTTCCCCTTTTCCTATTGGCCTCAGTTGCTTTAAGGTATCTGCTTTAGTTTCTCTGCGTTAAGGGCAACAAATGCTAGCTAGTTTTTTAGGTGTCTTACCTATCCTCACCCCTCCCTTGTGTGCTCTCGCTTTTATCATGTGCTCATAGTCCAATCCCCTTGTTGTGTTTGCCCTTGATCTAATGTCCACATTTGAGGGAGAACATACGATTTTTGGTTTTTTGAGCCAGGCTAACCTCACTCAGAATGATGTTCTCCAATTCCATCCATTTACCAGTGAATGATAACATTTCGTTCTTCTTCATGGCTGCATAAAATTCCATTGTGTATAGATACCACATTTTCTTAATCCATTCGTCAGTGCTGGGGCATCTTGGCTGTTTCCATAACTTGGCTATTGTGAATAGTGCCGCAATAAACATGGATGTGCAGGTGCCTCTGGAGTAACAGTCTTTTGGGTATATCCCCAAGAGTGGTATTGCTGGATCAAATGGTAGATCGATGTCCAGCTTTTTAAGTAGCCTCCAAATTTTTTTCCAGAGTGGTTGTACTAGTCTACATTCCCACCAACAGTGTAAGAGGGTTCCAAAAGGCTACATTTTTAAATAAAGAAAACACTCCTTGGACAAACTTCTTGGAGCTTGCCTGACATAAGCATAAAATTAAATAATTTAAGATTTGTTAAATTCATATCAAAAGCTCAGAATATGTACTAGTTTTAAAGATAAGTAAAAAGAAACTGAGTAACTGCCACCTACAGGGCTTAAGCATGTTAAATTGATCATTAGTGAACTGGGGGATCATTAGCAAATTAAAACTAGTTGATCAATAAGAGAATGTACTCACTGCTCATAAAACACTTATCTCTCTAGCATGGTAGTTAAGGGCGATAATCCAGCACTTAAGTCACTCTGGCAGGAGCATCATACTTTCTAGGCCCGACTGGGATACACAGTGAGACCCTGTCTCTAAAAAACCAACCAAGCAATCAATAACAACAACAAAAGTTGTCTTTCCATGTTACAAGAGGCATATAGCTAACATTCCTTTTCAGAATTTTTCAGGCAATTTGGGAAACAAAGACAATTGAGAACCAATAACAGACACTGCCTATACGAAGTCCTTTGCAAGGAGACTATATTATCTATGATAAATTTTCAGGTTACAAGGTCTTTGGTAGCCAACCTCTCCCACCCCTTATCTGCTTCTTGCCATAGGACTCAGCATGAATTTGTGTTATACTGCTTGGCAAAAGAGTCTGATATAATGACATGACATAGAATTAAAAAATCTGTTAGATTCTGTACTTATTTACTAATTCAGTTATCTTTGATCATAGATGTCCCTTTTAATTTTTAAGATCATATTCTCAATCTGACTTATTTATAAATTATTCATACACATAAGATGCAAGGTGCTAATTTAGGGTGAAGTTTATTTCTTCTAACCGTTGATATAATAAATCTACATTTCTAATCTCAGATTTAAAAAAAAACTTCTTTTCAGATATGGTCAAAGCAAATTATTATTTTTACTGTTAAACTTTGTCATTGGGCTTATAAGAACATAGCTAGGTCAGAGAATTTTCAACCTTGTCATATTCTTGACTGATTTGTTCTTGCATTATTAAAATGATTTCCAATTTACATTTCTTTGAAGGACTCTAAAGGTCTAACTGTCAAAGGTTTTACCAGTTATTCACCTCTCTTCACCTTGTTGACTTAAGACTTTAAAAATAAAGACCTGAGTGATACAGTGTCATTCCAGTCCCAATAAGTGATTGTCACTAGATGTAGGGCTCTGGGGAGGGAGGTGTGCATCCCATCATATCCAGCACAGTGTGGGAACACATAATGGAACCACTAGAGCATTTCTTGATTTAATAAGGAGAAAAAAACCATCACACATGATTATCAAAAAAGGAAATTCTAAACATTTGTATTCTGCTACCAAAGATGATTATGTGATATCAAGGAAAAACAGTTACTACTGGAAAATTTCCCAGCCAGCCAGACAGAAATAATTGAATTTTTATTATAGATTCCTGAATCTAGCAAGGAGGACATCAAAAGAATATATCCGAACCTGTAGGACGCCTGCATGCCTAGCCTAGGGAATAACTGGAACAAAGCTCCTGGCTGCCCTGTCACACCACAGTATCTATGAATTGCTACCAACACTACTACTTGTTCACTGCTACTTGTGAATGATCAGTAAACAATCTACAATTACTTAAAATATATTTTAAGTTTGACAATAACAAACTTTAAGCCAGGCATGGTAGTGAAGCCTAAAATCCTCCTAAGTGGAAGTTGAGGCAGGCCAGCCTGGACTACATGATGAGATCCTGTCTAAAAAAAAACGAAAACAAAGTATAAAGCAAACTATAAAGAAAATTTAAAGTAAAAAGTCAAACAACAGAAAGTATATTGGTTTATCTGAAAAGATTAGAATGGAAAAGAAAATCTATCAACATAATGAGGAAGCACAGCCTATGATATACAGGAATACATTACGTGATAAACACTTAAAATTGGGTGGAGGGGGAAATTATTCAGGAAGTAATGATAAAATTATTAGGAAAAAAGTAAAATTGATTCCTACATCATACGATACAAATTACACCACAGATATAGATTCAAAAGTTAAACATGAGACCACGAAAATGAGCAAACGCTTCATTGATTTTGTAACTACAAACTGTCCTTACTATGACATTTTACAAACTTTACTTTTCCAATAACTAATGCCTACATATTATTCAAAACTTCATACAAGAAGTTTGGCTGTTCTGAGAAAATGAAAGTCAGTACATTACAAGTCTACTTTTATACGTAGTTGTTTTGGATACATTTAGTGAATTTGATACAATATGGCCAAACAAACAAAAGAAGAAGTTAAACATACAGCTAGGTGTGGTGTACAAGCCTATAATCCCAGCATTCAGGAGATGAAGGCAGGAAGATCATGAGTTTGAGGTCAGCCTGGGAAGTGTGGCTCAAGAGACAGAGCACTTGTCTAGCAAGCGAGAGACCCTGAGTTCAAATTCTACTCTTACCAAAAAAGGTGGTGGTGGGGGGTGTGTGCACTTGGGAAGCAGTTCAGTGATAAGAGTGCTTGCCTAGCATGTCCAAGGACCTGGGTTTGATTTTCAGCACTGAAAACAAGAATCATGAAAAAAAACGAACAATTTCTATGTAATCTAGCAATTCTTTTCCTAGGCCTATAGCCAAAAGAACTGAAGGGACTGAACAAAACTACATATTCGTGAACACAGGAATGAATAAGCAAAATATGGTATATATACTTTAAGATACTATTTAGCCTCAAAAGAAAGGAAATTCTGATGTATGGTATGATATGGATGTACTCTGAAAAGATTTGCTAAATGAGATAAGACAGACTGAAAAGGACAAATTTCATGATTCCACTAATTGACCTACAGTAGGCAAAGTCCTATCGACATAAGGTAGAACAGGTTACCAGGGGCTGGAGTACAGAAGAGCGAACTTGTCTTCAGTGGGACTTCAACAGAGTTGAGGATGAAAATGGGTAATGGAGATGTTGCCCCACATTAGGAATGTACTTAACATCACTGAAATGGACACTAAAATAGTTACAATGGTAAATTTTAAGTTACATATATTTTAACACAAGTTTTTATTTAATTCTTTTGAGACAGGTCTCAGCATGTAGCCAAGGATGCGCTCAAACTCACTGTGTAGCCCAGGCTGGACTTGAACTTTTGATCCTCCTGTCACAACCTCCCAAGTGCTGGGATTATAGGCATTTCTGGTTTGCCACAATTCTTAATAAAAAGTACTTCATGAACTATGTGCATATAAACATGAATGCTTACAGAAAGAAAGAATTTATTTCTGCCTCACAGGAGACCCTTCAGCTATTCAATCAACAAACAACTGTCTGTACACTTACGAGATACACACAGGAAAACAGCTCAGAAACCTTAGTATCTAGAACTTCATAGAGTAATTGAGAACAATAGACAAAAAAAAAATCACATAAACACAACCAAGTCCTATGAGTGCCAATGGCAGAAACATACTTGATTGTTCTGGCTGTGAGGTTTATGGACTGCCCACCCAAGGTGATTGTGATCCTTCCAGAGGCTCCTTCATGACAAGATGACAAGCCCTAAGATCCCTTCATCACTTTCAGTGGCTCTTGTACAAGTGGACGTCAAAGCTAAAGGCGACCACACATCAGCACTCACTTGGTTCTCATGCAGAATATCAGGCACATATTAACAAAGTTCTTGGCTAAATGTTAGAGAACACATACTGTTCAAAGCAGGGAATACCACCTCACACTTGGAAATACAACTTTCATTCTGTTAATAATTCCTCACAAGCACCAAAAATATATTGCTGGTTTCTAACTTCTCATCTTTAATCAGAAGAGACTGATAGATAAGTGATGAGCTTGTTGTCAGGAAGCACACTAGTATTATACTCTATGGCTACTGGGTGTGATGTGTAGTGAAGCCTCAATAGCAGAGGATCCTCTTCCAAGAGGTCTCTGTTCCAAAAGCATGCACCATTCCTTTTGTTAGTCTTTAAAGAAAACGGGAAATAGTTTTAAAAGTCTTCTATGATTCTGGGATTCCTATGGTTAACACATAACTGTTTAAATTCTTTAGCAATGTATTAAATAAGGAGGTAGAGCTCAGAAACAGCAGAAATGATTTGATGGCTTCTTTGAATGTGATCCCAAGCAGAGTCGTGCTGCAGAAGCGTGCTAGGCCATGGCTTCTTTGAAAGCTGTAACACATGCAGTAAAACCAGTGTGTTCATGCTGGTTTGGATGATAGGCTCAAAGCACATGAGTAAAATTTATAGTATGTTTATATTTTTCTTTTTAAGAAATATGAACATCTCTGTCGCATGTTATGTTTTCCTCATCTCCCACATTAGATCGTATTTTCTATTTTTTGTGTCTCTCCTACCATGGTATTCAAATTACTTTCAATAGTCAATTCTAACAGAACCACTCCTACCCCTAGTCTAGCAGTCATTTCAATGCCAAATAAATGACAAAGAAATCTCATACTGTGACTTCAGGTTCAAGCAATTTAATAAATCAATTAATCAAACACACAGGACAGAGCCAGGCATATTAAAGTAAAATATCCTAGTTTTTCTCTTGACTCTAGCCAGCTAATATTTAAAGATTTTAGTAAACTGTTAATTACATTCAGAGACTTCTAAAGCCTAAACATAAAAGGTTTGATACTTGGGCCTGATGCTGGACCAACCTCCCACATGCAGGCACTATAATGTGATTATTATAGAGCCCACAGCCACCACTCCATCTTAAGAAACTATGTGGTTCATCTGTGAGCAAGAGGTAGACGACAACAGTAGGTTAATATAGTAAAAACAACCAGTGTTCCAAATTCTAACAATAGACTGCAGAACAACATACACTGAAACACATACCTAAGAACTTTAACCATTTTAAAGCTATTACCAAGACTCCCATCTGAGCAACAGTCTCTCCTTCACACCCGCCTCTATATCTAAAAATAAAATAGAACATTACAGTCACATATTTTGCTTGTTTCAGCCAAGAGCTCGAAAAACCCCCTTAAGCTCTACTGTTGCTGGATCAGTCCACTGTACACTGTGAGTCAGCACTTTTCCAAATTTCTGGAAAGTCCTTACCAGCAACATAACCCATAACAGGAAGCCAACTTTCCATTTCAATGTATAACAGGAAGTATTCAAATGGATTTCACCTAAACTGGAGAACTATCATTAATGTAACTGCTGTTACAGTGAAATAAGAAAAAAGCTACTGAAAAGCATACGTAAAAAAAAAGACTACAATATTTTATTTTAAAATAAAGTATACAAATTGTGATTAGCTAAAGCAATATAGAGAATTTGAAGAAAGGTACCTCAGTGGCTAGAAGACAAGAAAAACATAAGTTATGTTTAAAATTTAACTCAGTAACTGTCCTTTTTTCTGTTGCACACACCGTTGCCAGGCTGTATGGCTTTGGCACAGCCTGTGCTTTTATATTAAGAAACTGCTGAGCTTTGTTTTGAATATCTGGTCTGAGCAGGAATATAATGGACAGAAATTACATTGAAAATGTAAATACTTTGAGAAAAATATTCTTCAGAAGACACTAAAATAGTTTCTCTTCTCAATGAATGACTTGAATTTATTTGAACAGCAAAAAGCATATTAATGGATCAGTTTGTTTGTTTTAGAACAACTTTTCAGAAGGTTAACAGACCTTAAAACAAGCTGTACATTAACTGTGCGTGTCCATTTCATTGCTATTACACTTAGAAAGCTGCTTCCGTAGTTAAAATGTCGTCTAAAGAAGTCCTTTTCCCCTAATTTTTAAAGGCAGTTTCAAGTTCAGCAAAAAGCCAAATAGTTTAGCCATTATAGTCATTAATAAATGTACTTAGCATTCATGCAGCAGCAGAATGTAAGACATCTGGTTCTAATTTCAATTTTGGCTCTGAATAAAAGTGCCTCCCCCACAATACTTTGATTATAAACTGTTCTTTTGCTCCTCTGTTTTTTCTTCTTTGGAAGCTGTTGTCCTTCATTTTTGCTGGAAGCCACCTGACCACTGCCAGGAAGAGGAATGCAAAACATTCCCAGGAGGGCCCTGACGTCAACAGAACATTCCACCTCTCCACAGTCAGGGCTTTCAGGAAGCTCAGGCCTCCAGCAAACCCCCTGGAAGAGACAGTAACTGAGGCCTGCACTAAATCATATAAGAACCTTTGTACTGTGCTGTGAAGATGGCCAGTCTGGGGGGATGGGGAGGTGTGTGTATGTGTGGGGAGACAGAGAGAGAGAGAGAGAGAGAGAGAGAGAGAGAGAGAGAGAGAATGGAGAGAGAGAATGAGAATATGAGAGTGAAGAGAGTTGGCTCTCAAGCCATATTATTTTAGTTCATCTTCAAAACTATACTTTTTGGGGGGTAAGGGATAGTTTACCACTCATCTTCAATGGGTAAGACACCTTAGGCATCAGTATATACACAAGTTGAGATGCACAACAAAAGAGTTTGGGTTTAAACTAGTGACCTTCCTCTGTGGTTTACCCCAACAGTACAGTGTCTAAACAGCTCTCAGAAGGAAGATAAAAATCCCATTTAAGGATGCTTTACAAAGACTAAGTAGTAGCTGCATTCTTTGTCATGAGAAGTACTGTACACAGATAGAAAACTGTACATATATTTGGCGTATAACATTTTGCTAAGATACTTTAATTTATATTTCTTTGATTAATAACAAGACTTTAAGAATCTAGTTCTGTCCATATCAAAAGGCTATCAGAAAAGAAAGTGGATATGAAAGTATTCTGAGATGTTATTTAAATTACATTTTTCTCAGGTATTGTAACATGTTACTAGTGAAAGATATACAAAGTATGAAACTAGGAGATTATCACAGCTGCCAAAATACATGTATACCAATGGTGCTCTCCTAGGTCCTAAAACATGGTAACCTGGAGTTTGAATTTTTTTTGTATAGTACAATAGCACTCCAGAATAGAAATCTAGCATCTATGCCAGAAATATCTTGATAAAATATAGGTGTAAGGAGATTTACCAGGTCTGCTCACTTGGATCCTAACTATCCCCCTAGAAGGTCATGGACAGGAAAGTCAGAATTGCAGAAGCATCTTGAAGGACTCCCTAACTTCTGTGAGGCCAGGGACACCAGAGGCAGCAGAACTAAGTTTACAGGGGCAGGAAGACCAAAATAATGGTTTGAGCTCGGAATATTTGGGGTTAGACAGTTAATGAGGGCTTCATTGGACCAGAGTAACTGCAAAGCCTGAGAAACTCTGGTCTGATCTATTGGTCAAGTGCCAAAGATCTGACATGATCTAGTATAACAGTGTCAACAGTCTTTCTTGTAGACCCAGGAGACTCAGTCAGGGACCTGTGGCTTACAACTGAAGGAGAGATTGGGTCCTTTAAGGCAGTATCAATGTGCAATAATCTAATCATCCTTCTACCCTTCCCAAAAGAGATGCGACTACTTCTAAGGAGAAATGGAAATAATCGGACCACTTGGATTTATTTGATATTATCTCCAAGCTAACGCTGACTCTTACGACTCAATACCTATATGTCCCATTGGGTCTGTTGGTCAGGTGGAAGGTTTCATGGCTGTCAGAAACAAATTAGAGTCTGTCTTATGATTACCTGCCAAGAACCTGAGTTTACAGATGGAGTATATACTCACAAACAGGTAGAATTTCCACATTTGAGTCTGGACCTATGTACAGTAGTCTTCCCTCAAAACCCTATACGTCTTATTTTATAAATCATACCTGTCATAAAGCTTAATTTGCAAATTAGGAACAGCAAAAGATTAGTAACAACTAAAATAAAATAATTATAATAAAACTTATGTGAATGTGATTTTTTGCTCTCTTTCACTATCTTATACTGTAGATCTAGGCAACTTTAGTAGATTTTTTTTCTTTTAGTAAGTCAAGAGCTTTTGTCATGGCTTCTCTTTGGCATATCTTAATTGCCAGCATCACTCCTTGGGGGCTTTAGGGCATTATTAAGTAAAATAAAGATTATTTGAACATAAGCATTGCATCACCACAGTTGATCTGATAATTGAGAAGGATAAATGACTAATGGTCAGGCAGTGTATCCAGCCTGGATATACTGAACAAAAGGATGGTTCTTGTCCCAAGCAGGATAACATGAGATTTCATCATGCTATTTAGAACTTATTTCTTGGGAATTTTCCACCTAATATTTTTGGATTGCAGGAAGCTGAAGATATCTATAACTATGGAAAGCAAAACCTCAAGTAAATAGGATTACTGTGATGAGGATTGTTAGGATTAGAAGAGCTAAAGAGAAGCTCCTAAATTTTTGTGCCAAAGCAACAGACTGAAAGCAAATGCTGCTTCTTTTGGGGGCAATCACAAAGATTAAATGCCATCATTGGAGGCATGAAAGGTGAGGGATGGTGATACTTGTAACATCTCTTTAGGTACAGGTCAGGCCTACATGGAAGACAGAAAGGTCTTTGAGAATGACAGTGGCTTACCACAAACATAACCACTGCACTTGCTGCTGCTGATCCAAATGTGGTTTCCACCAGAAAAAAACCAACACATCTCCTTATCAGATTTGACAAATAATTGTGTGTGTGGTTTCCTACCCCAATAGGCAGAGAAAACAGAAATTACTTGCTCTCACCTGGAAGGTGGCAGGATACTTTTAGCCTGAGTACTATGTCAACTCTGGTTTTGTGTCCTAAGTGGTTCACAGGAATCTCAACCATCTTACTACCCCATAAGACAAGATGGCATCACTGTCACAGGATTTATCAGCAGAAAGAAACAGGAATCTCAGAATATCCTGGTAAGACAAGTATGTGTCAGAGGAGTAGAACATAAATGGTGTAAAGTTTCAGAAGCCTGCTCCCTGAGTGAAATTTCTATTGGTGCAATAAAGTAAAGTATAGTGAGATTATTTCCTCCAGAGTGAAAAAAAATTCTTGTACTTTGCACCAATACCATGGGGGAGGGAGAAGGAGAAATACCTACTGGCTTTTAGAGACAACATGTAACTGACACATTTACTAAGTAGTCTGTAAAGCTAGCAACATTAAGTAGGGCTGAGAAAGAAGTTCTCCATATATGCCAGGATACAATGCGAACACCTCTGTCCTCAGTCCTTTTGATCAACGGGAATGTTTATGGCCAAATGGGATACTCAGCTAAACCTCATAGCGGAAGGCCCCAAGGTTTT